GCCCATCGGCTGCACCACATGGGCTTTTTATAGCACTCTACCTCCACTCTGCCCGCCCCAGTGCCAGCTCCTGGGTCAGCCTCAAGACATTTAACCTAGGAAATCTTCCACTGCAGGATGGGGCAGGGATGGTACTGGCCACAGCGCTCAGTCACACGTGCACCAACTGCAACGAGAGCTGAGACGCGCAGAACAAGCTGTCCCAGCCCTGCTTCACTCATCCCCCAGCCCGCTGCTCTCAGCCCTAGGATGTTCCTGCAGAGTCAGGGCATGAGGAGTGCAGCCCTTGGCTGGGACCACATCCCCAAATCCCTGCAGCGACAGACCTCAAGACCATACTGTGTGTGTGGGGGGTGTCTTTTACAGACTAATGGTGGGTTTTTCTTCTCTCCCAAGGGGACACAACGGGGTCCGGTCATGCATCAGTGCTTTGCACTCCAACGTGAGTAGGACTCAGTGGAAGGGGATTAATCCTGCCTCCACATCAATGCATGGCTCGTCAGCTCCCCCCCACTCCCATTCTTCTGACTCCCCTCAGACAAGCCCCTGCTCCCTTTCGTCTCTCCCCTTTTCTCCTTTCCCTCCTTCCCTCTGCTTCCCTGAGAGCTTATGTCGGTTTGGCCGCCATCGAGGACATGGAAACAATTAGCTCGAGCAGCTCTGCCAGGCCTGGCAGGAGCCCGGGATCTCAGCACAGCCCAGCAAAAGCCTCTTCCAAAATCATGTTTCTTGGAGCAAGCACTCAAAACCACCTGGAAAACATGAGGGGCCTACTCCCTCGCCACCCAGCCCCACTCACAACACTGTCCTCTTGCCCCAGCTCAGTCTCAGCTGGGCCCTTGAGGTGAAGCTCCTCCAGCTTTCCTTCTTTCTCCCTAGGAGATGACCCGGCTCAGGGTTGGCATCGGGCGGCCAGAGTGTGAAGTGACAGTGTCCAACTATGTCCTGGCTCCGTTCAGTGCTGAGGAGCAGGAGAGGCTGGAGCAGGTCCTGGCTCAGGCAGCGACCTGCCTGCTGGAGCACATCCTGCGGAGAAGAGCGCCTGCAGGAGAGCCGGGGGACAGGGGCTGACATGGAGCCCTGGGGACCTGCATGGCCAGTGGACAGGGTGCTGCGGACTCTGGGGTGACCACGGTGCGGAGCAGAGCTGGCCCTGCCGGGCAGCCTGGCCGGGTGCTGGGGCAGCCCCAGTCTGTCCCCACACAGATCCGGGCAGCTTGTGTCCCACTCAGACCGCTGCAGCGGCTTCATGCAGCAGTTTGGGACAGAAATGAAATAAACCCTCATTCTGCCCCGCTCCTGCCTCTCTCCCGTGCACCGGCCGCTGGACTTGGGCAGTCCCTGGCTCTCTGTGGCTCAGATCCGTGTTCCCATCCCTCTTCCACCAGCCCAGGCTGGAGGGAAGCTTCCGGTGGGAAGTGGGGAGTGACGGGAGCGACTTCAGCTTCGGCTTTGTTGAGAAACCGTGGCAAGCACGAGTTGCCTGGAATCTCGTCGCTTAGGGCGGCTCTCACTGAGCTGCAGCAAGTCTCAGGGCTGGCCTCGTAGTTTTTTGAGTTAGGTGGCTTTAAGCCAAAACCCTGGAGTTTCTAACAGCCGGAGGAGTTCTGGCTCCTCACAGACCCATTACAGGCCTCATGGCGGAGAGGGCAGCCCAAGAAGTGGGGTCCCACCACCACCACCACCACTGCAGTTTCCCCAAGCCAGCTCGCCAGCACACCCTGTCCCACTGCGTACCCCATGAGCATGGCTGCACCGCGAGCCCTGGCGCGGGCAGCTCCCTGCCCACATCCCAGCAGGTGCTGGAACAAGCACTGGGACCCTTGCTGGGTCACACGTACCGCAGCACTGCTGCCGCTTCCTTCCTCTGCTCCAGCTGGCACCAGGCCTTCCTCTGCTCTGTCCCCAGCTCCTGAGCTCCTCCTGTAGCACTGAGGCTACCTGTGACCAGGGGACAGGCAGGGAAGCAAAGATGCCCCCAACCTGCCATCACCTCTCCACCCTGCTGTGTCCCCCCCCTGCCTGTACTGGCTGGTACCCTGTGGTTGCAGACCATGCACTTGGCCCTCTCTTTCTCTTGGACCTTCAGGTCCTACAGGATCTCCTGGAGTTGGTTCTTGGCCTTCAGGAGTTCCTTGCTTGTAGCTGTTCATCCTGCCCTGAACAATGCTCTCCTGGAGCACTTGATGGTCTCAGACATCCCACTGTGGGTCTCAGCTACTAAGGCTTCCACCCACTGCTCCATACCCTTCATCAGGCTGTGGGGAGAAGAGGAGTTCAGCCCCCCAAACCCCAGGTGAAGACAGCAACCCACCACCCTGGGGCTAACCCCAGCCGCTGCTCCAGGGCCAAAAGGGGCAGCCATGTGCCAGGCAGTGGTGGAGAGAGGCAGAGGCCTGGGAGGGAGCTCACATTTCTCTGGCTCACCCAGACTAGGGCTAGTTGCAGCGCTTTTAAGGGAATAGCTCCTCCACCCCAGGAAACCCTCACTTTCCAACTGAATGTCACCCTGCCGAGGAGCTGAGGTTTATCACCGAACAGGCCGTGGCTCTTGGAAAGCAAACTCCAGAGCTGGCCACAAAGGTGACAGATGCCGGAGCCCAGCAGGACTCGGCTGCACATCTCAGTGCTCAAGCTGGTGTTCGGTTTTCAGTCCCAAGGCCAAACCCTCTGCTGAGGACCCCAGTGCCAATGAAGGAAATAATTTCCATCAGCATTCCCAGGGGAGAGCTCTGTGGAAATGCCACCCACCTTTTCACCCCCGGACCCCAAAGGAGAGCTCCAGTCTCCCTCTCTCACCCTACATTCCTCTCTCCCTTTCCCCATTACACATTTCATTCCCAAAGAAATCCCCAGCTGGAGGAACCTCCAGACCCTCACCACCACAGCTCTGAGGTGACCCTGTGGGGTCTCTGCCCTGGGGACATTACGAGGGGCAATGCTACCCAGCACCTGGCACGTCAGCTCAAACACAGTCTGCTTTAATCCTCCCTGCGTGTCAGCCCAGACATGGCACAAGCAAGGGACAAGCCCCGTCGGTGGCAGGAGGCCACGTGCACCATCACAGGAGTCAGCCCCTGGCCTGAAAAACACTCCCCAAAGTCCAAGCTGGTGGGAGACGGCAGAGTTGGCATCACTCAGGGTGCTCCAAGAGATGTGTCCTCAGCCAAGATGGAGCACAGCGCTCCCCAGGTCCCTCTGCCTGGCAGGGAGATGGCTCTGTGGGAGCCCTGGGGCAAATCCTGCCATGGGTGGATTCACCACACGCAGATTTGAAGGACCCACAGCCGTCCAGGGCAGCTCCATCTCTCAAGTGCGAGCTGGCAGGATCAGGCCGCTGGCCGGTGGTGCTCCCAGCTGGGTCACAATCCCTCGTCCCTAGGAGACAAGGAGGCAAACATCAGCAGTCAAGGCAGGAGCAGCCCCGACACTTTC